AGTGCTACAGTTAGTTAGTGTGTTAGTGGAGGTAGAGTGTGAAGAGGTGTGTCTTTAGTCTGAAGATGTGAAGGCTCTCTGTGGTCCTGATGTCTTCAGAGACCTCCTTCCACCATTTAGGAGCAGGACAGCAAAGAGTGGTAATCTAGTCGAGTGTTTTGCTCTCAGTGAGGAGGAACAAGCAGTTTATCAGATGCAGAGCGGAGTGCGGGTCGGGATGTCTGGTTGGACCAGGTCCTGGATGTAAGCTGGACCCCATCCATTCACAGCATGGTACCTGAGCACCAGTGTTTAGAACTGGATGAGCCACCGGTACCAGTGAAGAGAGCGGAGGAGTGGAGGAGTGAGGGAGAGCTTAGGAAGGTTGAAGACCAGTCGAGCTGCTGCATTCTGGATGAGCTGCAGAGGTTGAATGGTGGTAGCAGGAAACCTGCAGGAGGGAGTTACAGTAGTCCAGGAGGGAGACGACCAGAGCCTGAATCAGTACCTGCGCTGCCTTCTGAGTGAGAAGAGGACGTGTTCTCCTGATGTTGTAGAGTGTGTATCTACAGGATCGTGTTGTCAGTGATGTTGGGAGTCAGGGAGAGTCGGCTGTCGAGTGTCACGTTCCTGCAGTCAAAGTGGGCGTTAACACGGATGTTAAGTTTAATGTTAATGTTTTCTTTGCACACGTTCCATGAAGCTTGATCTGCAGCATGAAGTAATTTCTCACATTTGAATTCACATTTGAAAGTGAAAGTACAGTGTCGGGTACACTTCTACTCAAAAAACATATTACATATTACATTTATTTTACGTTTATCTACTTTTATTCCATGAATATATTCCAGCACCTCGTCGCTGTGTGACGCCTGACTGACAGTCTGTGGTCGTCTGTAAGTAGTGGTAGAAGAAGAAGAGGTGGTCCATGTGGACATGAAGGACAAAGCTGTGTGTGAGAGAGTGATGTAATGTCCATGTCTCCATGCTGCTCTGACCCCCCTCCTCCTTTCAGGGTGGAGCCTGATGGAGTCCGATGGTTGACACCAGGTCTGAGGAAGTGTAAGTGTGCTTTGATTCATGAAGATTCAACCATCTTCACACTGTGACATCACTCATTCACCTCTGTGATGTCATCATCAGTGTCAGTAGATGAACACATGATTAATAACTGCAGCTGTATTGTGTCTTGTTCTCTCATCAGATTCCTGTCAACTCACAATCGACACAAACACAGTAAACAAACAACTCAAACTGTCTGGCAAAAACAGGAAGGTGACACGTCTGAAGAAGGGTCAGTCATATCCTGATCATCCAGACAGATTTGACTCCTCCCCTCAGTTGCTGTGTAGAACTGGTCTGACTGGTCGCTGTTACTGGGAGGTCGAGTGGAGCGGAGAAGTTTATGTATCAGTGAGTTACAGAGGAATCAAGAGGAAAGGAGGCAGAGACTGTTTGTTTGGGTACAATGATCAGTCCTTGAGTCTGAGCTGCTCTGATAAAGGTTACTCTGTCCGTCACAATAATAAAGTAACACGCATCATCACCTCCTCCTCCTCCTCCTCCTCCTCTGGTAGAGTAGCAGTGTATGTGGACTGTCCTGCTGGCTCTCTGTCCTTCTACAGAGTCTCCTCTGACACACTGATCCACCTCCACACCTTCAGCACCACATTCACTGAACCTCTTTATCCTGGGTTTGGGTTCTGGCCCGGTTCTGGTTCCTCAGTGTCTCTGTGTTCTCTGTAGGAGGGAGAGTCTCCTCCTGGTGGAGAACCTTCCTCTCTGTCACACAGCTGATGGTGGTTCATGTGGGTGTAGATGCAGGTGGAGCAGGTGAGGGGTACCTGAGCTGGTCTGGACTCTGGGGGGGCCACAGCTCTCTGGGACTCAGGGGGACGTGTGAAGGAGCTCAGCTTAATGCTGCTGTGCTCCTTGAATCAATAGATCATCGTTTAGATATCGGCTCCTAATTAGGCTTTAATCTTCATCTTTATATCTTAAAATAAGAATTTGTTTTATAAAAGTCATCTGCCCCCCATGTGAGATAAATGTAATATGTGTGTTTTATTAGCATTCATGCTAATTAAAACAAGGTGAAAATATGAATGTGTAATTATTTTTGAGCCGATTTTAACTTCAAACCTTTCAAAATCTGTTCAGTGAAATAAAGAAAAATAATTTCACATAATCATGTTTGTACTGATTTATATATGTGCGTTCAAGGTTTACAGAGTGTGTGTGTGTGTGTGTGTGTGTGCGTGTGTAAGCATCTCAATAGTGAAAGTAGAAGTGTCTCAGTACTTAAGTCCTAAACGGTCCCTCTTACTGTTCCGAGCTGTCAGTCAGCAAGATCTTCATCAGCTGATGGAATTTTCAGCTAACGTAACGTTAGCTTAAAAACAATAATATATTGACTACTTTACCCTATTGTTGTCTTGGAACTTTTATTCCAGAAATATGATCTTATTTCCTTTGTAATATATTGTTCAAAAACACTGTATTGCTGAAGATTGACAGGCCTAGCAACAGTAACCAAGGGGGGAGGGGCTTAGAGACAGCTCCTTTAAAACAGGAGGTTCAAAGTTCATTCATTACTTCAGGTACTTTGGAGTAGATTTAATTGCCAAAACTACAACTTTATCTTTACATTATTATAGCTGTTAATCACTGGGAGGAACAAACTACATTAGTTTATAACCGGAATGCATTGTAGAGCATTAAAAAGCGTCAGCATGGTGATCAGCACACGCTGGTACCAGCAGAGGGCAGTAGACGTCAAATCTTCACAGAAGACACAGAGAAATACTATAATTAATCATCTTAATCTGATGCGTCCTTGTTTACGGGGAGACACCACTGGTATTTTAACTACTATATATCACCATAAAACGTCTGACGTTAATTACTGCATAGGGGCATTTCTTCTTGTCTTATAGGTTTTCTCAAATTGAATGTATGAAAAAGAGACATTATTTTACCACATTCTTGTTAAATGTCAGAAATCTCAATATGAGATACATCCCTTTTCACAATTCCTGTTAAATTATAAGATTCAGAGGTTTTACAGAATTGGGCCTCTCTCTAAAACTCAATTTATTTTTGTAATACAAAATGTTGAATAAATCAGATGAATGATATATAAACAAGTCCCTCAGTAAAAAACTAGACAGGAAAGAAAGAAACACGGATAAGGAATGAAACTGTAAAGATGGTGAATGTAAGAGCTCAGACAAAACTAAAGAAAAAGTCCTGACAGGAAGCTAAAAAGACCAGAATCTCACATGTGACCGGTGCAGGAACGAGGTGTTTCTGGGTTGCACTGATGCTAGTTTCTGTTTGCAGCCATTGCAGTGGAGTCGCCCATTGATTACAGCGAGATCGCAGAGGTCGATGATTCATTGACAGCACGTGACTCTTTACATTAAGCCCGAGGCTCCGTCCGAACCCAGAGGAGGAGACCGCGCCGATCCAAAATAACCATTAGCGTGACGCAGAAGTTCCTGGAACGTCCCCAGAGTATCGACGCGTTGGGGAAATGCCGTAGGGCTGTTTGCGGGTTGTCAAACGCGATCAGCGAGAAGGCCCCCCAGCCACGACGATCAGCCGCTTGATTGGACCGGGACGGTCGCCAACCATCTCTTGGTGTCGCGTCACCACTTTCCGGACAGGTGTTGGCAGTGTGAGATAGAAGTGATAGAAGCGGAACTTCTATCTCACCGCTCGGTGTCTGGGGAGACGATGACAGGGTGTGAGACTCCCCCATCCGCTGCCCGGGGTACCGGGGGGGGGCACCGATCCAATGAGCTCTGCCGCCGTCCTTCAGCTTCGGTGTCCAGCTGGACTCTGCACATGGTTTCTGTATTTGTTTATCAGTGTTGTGTTATATATGTATATATTTTACTTTTAGAAGGTAGACATGAGTGAGATAAATGTGACCAACCTCTAAAATCTGGTAATTGATAAATGTGTTGATGAGCTGAGAGGGTGAATCAGACCCGATATCTAAAATAAGCGTAGATGTGAGTTTGTGTTGAGGCGTCGTGTGTCCCCTTCCTGCACAACACTTAGCAGCTGTGAGGGGGAAACGGTTTCATCAGCTTAATAAATGGAAACTTCTGGGCTCCACGGCTGCAAGTGGAAGAAAAAAATGTCAGGAACACCTGACGGCCAACGTCCCTCAGGGGTTGTCTTCGGGGGCCGAGTGTTATTCTGCACTGTCCGTGATCGCGCGGGGACAATCCTGTGTGTGAGAGTATCATAACCTGATGAGAACGTGACGGGTTCCAGTCCCACGGTGTGACGGTGACGACGGGGACTCTGATTGATTCCACTGGACCAAAGGCCGCCTGGGATGGAATCACAAGAACAAATCAGAAACTGCGTGTTGAGTCAAAGCTCAAAGCCGGGGGAATTTATCGTGGACACCTCAGATGTTGAACTTGTCTTATTTTAGCTGAATCTATTCCGCGTCCCACACATCTGTGCCACGAGGAGGCCTGAGCAGAGCAGACTGTTCCACACGGCTGCAGTAGAAGTAGAGCTTTTCTAAACGGACCCTGGTGCTTTGAAGCACTGCAGCATCTGTCCACAGGGGGCGACAAAGTCGACGTAAAGTGAAAGGACCTTGTTGCTTTTTGCATGATCATTTTACGATTTTAGACCAAAACGTGTATGTAAAATCATAATTTGTGTTAGAATAATATGTTTTGTATTAATTTGTCCTTATAAATTTTACATTTACTTTATGTGCTGCAAATGTTTAACCAGAACTCTTTATATATTGCATTTCCCTAATGATAATAATAGGAATAAAATCAGTATAGGATGCAGCTGATACAGGCTCGTGTGTGTGTGAGGGCCTGCTGGATCCCCGGGGGGGCTCCAGGGTTACACTGGTACGTCTTTTGTTTTCTACTCAGCGGCCGTGATTAATTCCTGGAAAGAAACAGAGAGTAACCATGGCCGTCTCACCTGTGGAATTAATTATTGGCTCACTTAGCCCCCCCCCCCCCCATCCCTCCCCCACTTCCTGACAAACAAGCTGTGCCGCGGCGTCGCTGGTCACAGCCGTACGGGACTCTAACCAGGTAAGAACGCCACAGACATCCTGCGTTCTACGACACGTGTGGTTGAATGACCCGACCCGTCTTCCAGCAGAATGCCGAGCCAGCTGGAAGGTGCGATGGACGCCCTGATCACCGTGTTCTACAACTACTCCGGGAACGACGGAGACAATCTAAAGCTCAACAAGGGCGAGTTGAAGGAGCTCCTCAACAGCGAGCTCACCGACTTCCTCACGGTACCGTAGACGCTTGTTGTGTGTTTGACCCCCAGCGGGTCGTCCTACAGCTCGGTGTCCTGTAGGAGCTTCATTCAGGGACAGATGATCATGTATTACACCTCTTATTAAGATGTAATAACAGTTTTTAACTTAGTGGAGCATTTTGTCTTGTTTCAAATTCAGACTTATTTTAATGAGCGCTTTGGTGGCTTTTTTTCTAGTTAAATGTATTATTCCATAAGAAATTACAACTAATAGAATAATGATAATAGTAATGACAACACAAGTAATAATAATGATCTTTATTCATATTTATTCATTAATAAATCATTGGTAATTCATTTAATAATATAATATAATAATATGTATAATAATAAAAATAATAGTAATATAATATAACAGTAGGATTTAAAAACAGAACACTGAAGAAGCAAAAATGATTACATTTAAAAAATAGATATAAAGTAATATAAGAAGTTATTAAAAACATGAATTGTCAGGTTTGATTCATTTGATTTAATTTACTCAGGTTCTGATTATTTTTCTTGTTTAAAAAGCAGCTTTTTTGCATTTGTGTTACAGTTTGCAGTACAATAATAATCATCATCATTCATTCATTAAGCTCTTGTTCTTGATGCTCTCGGATTTACACTGACCCCAGAACAGCTCCTTATTGGGAACGTGTTGACCCTTGACCTCTAGATGTCCCTCACCTCCTCGGTGGATCAGCGACACTTATGATAATCCACTTGCTCCTCGGGTGGAGCCACGAAGTCCCGCGACTCACTGAGGGTCCCTCAACATTGATCGCTGTCCCGCTGTGAGGGTTTAAACCGCTGCAGTGGAATCGAGGCCGGTGGGAGAAGGAGCGAGGTGGTTTAATAAGCCTCTTCATAAGAAGATCAATATATATGCATGTTCTTCTTCCTCATGCAGATGAGAAGCCTCAGGTGCTCACTCACCCTCATCATCGTCATCATCAGTTGCCCGTATCGCCGCCAAATATAGACGCTCACATGATGTCATCACGTCCCCCTCTGAGAACAGACGCATTCGCCCTCAGTTTCCTCCGACACGTCCAGGGCTTGTTAGATTAATGAGTGTGTGTGTGTGTGTGTGTGTGTGTGTAGTTAATGTGGGTGGGAATTGTTTACTGAGAAAGGCAGGATTGAGTTGGGTTTTGGTCTTTGCATTTCTGCTGTCAACTTTCACAATTAACACGAATCTTTGAGTCATTTTAAGGATTTAAAAATGAAAATGACAGCTCCAACAGCTGTCACTAGTACCTCCTGCACAAGCACGAAGATCCAGAAGTGAAGGAACCGTGTAACGTCTGAGAAATACAGGAGAATCCTTCATTTTAAAAAAACTGTTTTTTTTTCCCCGTTCTTCAGTCCCAGAAGGACCCGATGCTGGTGGAGAAAATCATGAACGACCTGGACTCCAACAAAGACAACGAGGTGGACTTCAACGAGTTCGTCGTGCTGGTGGCCGCGCTGACTGTCGCCTGCAACGACTTCTTCCAGGAGCAGAAGAAGAAAAGCAAGTAGATGAAACCAGCTGAGGACCAATCGTTGGAAAAAAAATGCCGCCCACATTAAAAAGAAACATCCCATCAATGTCCCATGAGTTGAATCATTCAGTGGCGCTGTAAAATAATACGGTTAAGCTGTGACTTTGAGATCGAACCGCACCAAAGTAGCCATTTTTCTGTCTGGAGTAATGTTTCTAATCAGAGAATACAAAAGGAAAACGCTGTGGTGTCGTTGTGCAGCTCAGCTCTCAGGCCTAGTTTATGCTTCTGCATTTTCAGAGAGACGCAAGGACACGCAGACGCAGGAGCCCCTTGCGTGTCCCTTGCGTGCTTTTTCACACCTCCTTGAGTGCGTCGACCTGCAGCGCACAAGGCTGTGATTGGTCCGCTAACTACGTCCTTTACGGAGTCTCACATTTCCGTTTTCATAGCCCGATACGGCCATTATTAAAACGAAGGACGTTTACGAGAGAACGGATCAGATTGGAGAGCTTTTATCGGAAGAAATGCGTAAATATGACCACTTATACAAGCCGTCATTGGCGGACTATAAGCCAATCAGGGACCACATGGGTCCAGCAGCCAATCAGGGACCACATGGGGTTAGCACCCAATCAGGGACGACCTGGGTTCAGCAGCCAATCAGGGACCACATGGGTTTAGCACATAATCAGGGACGACCTGGGTTCAGCAGCCAATCAGGGACCACATGGGTTTAGCACATAATCAGGGACCACATGGGTCCAGCAGCCAATTAGGAACCACATGGTTTCAGCAGCCAATTAGGGACCACATGGTTTCAGCAGCCAATTAGGGACCACATGGTTTCAGCAGCCAATCAGGGACCACATGGGTCCAGCAGCCAATCAGGGACCACATGGGTTTAGCAGCCAATCAGGGACCACATGGGTTTAGCACCCAATCAGGGACGACCTGGGTCCAGCAGCCAATCAGGGATCACATGGGTCCAGCAGCCAATCAGGGACCACACAGGTTTATCAGCCAATCAGGCACCACATGGGTTTAGCACCCAATCAGGGACGACCTGGGTCCAGCAGCCAATCAGGGATCACATGGGTCCAGCAGCCAATCAGGGACCACATAGGTTTAGCAGCCAATCAGGGACCACACGGGTTTATCAGCCAATCAGGGACCACATGGGTTTAGCACCCAATCAGGGACGACCTGGGTCCAGCAGCCAATCAGGGACCACATGGTCCAGCAGCCAATCAGGGACCACATAGGTTTAGCAGCCAATCAGGGACGACTTGGGTCCAGCAGCCAATCAGGGATCACATGGGTCCAGCAGCCAATTAGGAACCACATGGTTTCATCAGCCAATCAGGGACCACATGGTCCAGCAGCCAATCAGGGACCACATAGGTTTAGCACCCAATCAGGGACGACTTGGGTCCAGCAGCCAATCAGGGATCACATGGGTCCAGCAGCCAATTAGGAACCACATGGGTCCACCAGCCAATTAGGAACCACATGGTTTCAGCAGCCAATCAGGGACCACATGGGACCTCGACAAGGAAGCACGTGTGAAATCATGTAGGCTTTTTAAAGATTTCTTTGTAGGCTTTTCTCTCCCAAATGGCCGAGCAGACGGTTGATGTGCGACATTTCTCTCCGCTGTTGGAGGAAAATGACTGAAACAGAAATACACGACGGCCGGAAAGAACAACTGACTAACATCAGGAAAAACATTACGTTTTGTACCTGTCGTTAGATATAGAAGAAAATATTTCTATTGGCCCTAAGTGTGTCCAATCACATACAATATCTCCTGACATTAATGTAAACACGACGAGTGTTGTGTGGTGCTTTGTGTGTCTCTGACTCTTCAGACAATGACTCCCCAAATAAGCAGCAAGAAAATCGTTTAGGATTATCAGCCACGGTGCCATTTGTCCGTGATTGGCTGCAACGAGGCGGCAGCATCACCACGTTTCACCAGGAAGACGCCGTGCAGCAATTGTCTAATTTGTTCGCAATCGTAAAAGGTTGCAATCAAGCGGATGTTTGTATTTTAACACATTTGAAAGTGAGTGTCTCATCATTTCCTGTGAGCTGGCTTAACGCAGAGGACGCTTCCCCCTCCCATTCAAAAGTACCAGTTGTGTGTCGTGAGCGTCTCTAAAGGCTGTGTGTGTGTGTGTGTGTGTGTGTCACCATGACGGGGTGTGTGGGCGTAGTAATTACTGGCAATTAAAAGATGCACCTGAAGTGCAAGTTTCCATCATGCTAATAATAACCTTAATGGTTTAAGGCAAAATACAATAACTGCTCATTTTTTTTTACATTAAAACAGTCAGAAGCTCTTTTATGACTCTGGAAGCAGGAAGCCAGAGAACAAAACGAGAGAAAATAAACGATTAGAATATAGAAAAGATGAGGTTCGTGTGTCATTGAGACGTCAGAGAAAAGGAGGACGGAAACAAATGCGGATTTTGTGTCTTACACATAAACAAACACCAAATATGTTCCCTGGAAGAACTAATTTAGTCGTGTACGACATAGAACAAGGAAAGAGTGATGGAGGAAGAAAAGCACAAAGACATCTTCCTTCCATCGACACACATGTAGCAGGTATGTTTGTGTCTGTGTATAGAAAGTGTGTCGGTCTGTCGCTGCTACCTGCGACTGATCTCCTTAGAAATATGCCTCCATCTCTACTCCGCCTTCCGGGTGCCTTCCTCATCTTCGTCACTCTGTGCGTCACTGGCCGTGTCACAACTGGCCGTGAGTGAGTGTGTGTGTGTGTGTGTGTGTGTGTGTGTCACAGTGGAATGTGAGGCAGTCGGGAGGTTGTGAGCATTTCGCAGAACACGGGTTTCACAAACTGAACAACTATTAAATCAGTTAAATCATAAAGAGTTCACAGTGAGAGAAAAGCAAACCGAGAAAAACCTTTTCATGCAAAGATGTAAATCTTTGAAGCGCGGGTAAACACTACCTGGGCTAGGCATAGCATGCCGTTAGCTCTTTTTGCGCCGATCGCGCCGTTAGCTTAGATGCTGCCAGCTCCCAATTTCTTATGCGCCTTCAAAAAATAAAGAAATACATTTTTTAAATGTATTCAAATTTATTTTTGCACACATTCTTTACAAAAACTAAACCATTGGTCGGTTTGAAGTAAGAAGGCAAATAGCCAACGCAGGAAGGGTGGAGAAGAAGAAGAAGAAGAAGAAGAAGAATCCCTGCTGTGCGTCCGAGCACCATCAGCACCTGATTAGCGCTGCGGATGGAGGATGATCCGGTTATGGGGCGCAGCCCGCGGGGAGCACGATTCTGCACGGCTGCCTGCTTTCACGCCGGAAAGCGGTGATCCCTCCGGGGATGACGACACACGAGCGGCTTCCTGGAAGCTCCTCTTGGCCCAATGTTCCCTCTCCCATACGGGGGGGGGGGGGCATTAAGGTGGGCTTCTAGTGTCTCCTCCCGATTCCTGGCTGACTCTCTCGATGTGCACGGGCAGATAAAGTAGATTTAATGGAGGTTTGGGTGCCACGTTTGGATAAACCCGCGTTGCTGTGGTGAACCTTTGGCGACCCGAAGGCCGCTCACAGGAACCGGAGCTGAACGTCTCTCAGCGTTGTCAGATTGTTGTAACGCTGAACAACAACTCGAGGGTCTCGGAGTCGCTGCGGTTTTCACACGCTGCACAACACGTGAGCTCGTGGAAGGTGGGGATGAAGTCGTGTGAACGTTTTGTCACCAACTGAAGATGATGGTGAGAAAAGAAAATAGCAAACACAGTTCATCCTGAGGAGGACGTGAACGTCTTAGTGGAACAGAAAGCACCGTTTTAACATCCAGACCTCCTTCTGTGGGCAAGTAAGTATGTTTGCAAAAAATCAGATGATTGAATATATATTTGCTTTTAAAGCAGTTGAAAATAACTTTTCTTAAATACAGGGACACAAAGACTCGTCGGGTGGGAATAAGAGGGATGTTTTATAGGACACGGATACACATCGAGTGTCTGTGTCTCCTGCTGAGTGATTGACAAAGAATCCATGATTTCGTCTCTCTGAAAGGCCAAATTTAAATGTCACGCTTGATTTCAAAGTTCAAACTAAACCGTCGTAATCAACGCAATCATCACTTCCTCTGAGCAGCATCTCAGTCAATATGAAATACACTCAAATACAACGTAAATATAAACCCTGATGGAAAGATCCTGTGCTGGTGATCTCCAGTAACTACTGTTGTTTTGATATATTTATTGAAATATTTTTTGTTTTATTAAATTGTTGTATCATTGGTGCTCTCAGCGCCACCTTTTCCTCTCACTTGGTTGCTTAAAAACAAGATGGCCGAGTCCAAACCGTCGGGGGTCGTCTTGGTGACCACATGATAATGTAATGTAATTCATCTTCTTACGTCTGTGGGTCCAAATATCAGACTTCACATCAGAATATCAGACTTTACAGCCATAAAGCTCCACTAACCTCTGATTTTAACACAATTGCCTCCACCCAATCCCATTTACCTCCACCTAACCTTATTGTCTTTGTGCCTAAACTTGACATAACCGTTTTACAATTGATTTTAAATGACATCATTTGTAAAAAAAAAAATGAGTCTGATGGGAAAGTCAGTGGTTGTATAAACGTGTCCCAGTGCGACAACTGGTCGTCATTAAAGGAGCAAATCAGACACGGAGACATACACAGTGCTTTGTCATGCGCTGTCGTTTTATTACAAAAAGGTTTCATACAAATTGAACTGCATAACGGCAATGGACTCTGTGTCAACTGTATTGACCCGCTGACCTCCGTGTCAGACGAACCCGCGGCCCCTTGCAGGAATGTTGATCATGTACGTAAGACGACAACAGCATCTGTAGGAGTCTTCACAGCAAACAACAACAATACCAATTCCACCAACACAAAAAGGACGCTTTGTTTCATTTAGCAACAATCAGAACGGGAACAAAAATATTCAAAAACAAAATATGTTATATGACCTCAGCGTATTTCAATTTTTTTTATTGAATTGTACACTTGTGCATTTAAATTTTAAAGACATCGTCCAATCAGACGGGCCGACCGGTTGGACCTCGTCTTTTTTTTGATGGA